TATCTCTCTATAAAGTATTACAATTTTCCTCAAAAAGTTTTATACATATTTTTACATGTTTTCCTAAGTATCTCATATTTTTGTTGCAATTATAATAAAACGATTTTCTGGTTGACTAAGAATTTTTATGACGATTATGTATTGAATGTATCAAATGTTTTTTTTTTCCTGTAACTATGTATTTCCTCTACTTTAACCTATGAATTACATTACCTTGCATTACTGGAATAAAACCAACTTAGTCCAATGACTTAAAAAAATTTTTTTTTTGCTAGATCTGGTTTGGTAATATTAGTATCTATATTCATAAGTGAGATGAGTCTGTAACTTTACTTCAGCATACTATCCTAGTCTGTTTTGGTATTAAGGTTATATCTTACTAAACAGATGCATAACATTAAGCACAACTATTCTTTTTCTAGTCTTTTTAACATTTTATATAAGACTTGAGTATCTGTTTCTTGAAATTATGGTAAAAATTATCTGACCTTGTGATTTCTCTTAGTAGATTGTGGCAGTTTTGTTAGATTATATTTCTAACAAATTCTATTTTATTGAAGTTTCCAAATTTACTGGTATGTTTTCATGTAATTTTCTTCCTGTTTTTCAATCTGTGCTGTATTTATACTTCCTTTTTAATTAACATATTATGTCTTCATGCATTTTAAAAATCAATCTAAACAAGTATGTATCAGGAATTTTTACAAATTGAATTATATAAGATACCCAGCTGATTTTGATTAGGACCATATGCTGAGAAACAATAATCTAGAATGGCCCTGTCCAATGCCAAGGAGGCACTGAATTTTTAATTAAACATTTAAAAAAATTAAAATTTAAATAGTCACATGTGGCTACTGTCTATTGGACAGTGTAACACTAGGAGGTCTTTATTAAGACTTTATTTGTTCTTAATGGCAATAATTTAATACACAGCCCATAATCTAAAACTTATACTAAGGTAATAAAATGTGCCAGAATTAGGCTAAAGAAAATTTGTGCACATTCTGTTCAGCATAACTCCACAAATTTTTCATGTGATGAACAACAGTAATATTTTTAGAAACATGTAGGAGTGAAGAAGCTATGGAAACAAGAATATTTTCTCTTTCCTACATTGATTACTAGATCTTTAAAAAAAAAAAACAACACTACGAAGAAAATCATCTTTTTTTTTTTTTTTGCGGTATGCGGGCCTCTCACTGTTGTGGCCTCTCCCATTGCGGAGCATAGGCTCCGGACGTGCAGGCTCAGCGGCCATGGCTCACGGGCCCAGCCACTCCGCGGCATGTGGGATCTTCCCGGACCCGGGCACGAACCCGCGTCCCCTGCATCGGCAGGCGGACTCTCAACCACTGCACCACCAGGGAAGCCCAGAAAATCATCTTAACATTTGTTTTATCTTCAGTGTCTAGAAAGTAACAAGATGTTAAAAAATAATACTAAGGATAAAAATTTGAAATGTTCACAAATGCTTACTTTAAAATTTTAGACCCAAGTAACTCACTGGTGGAGTAGTTCTGAGATCTTTTCAGTTCTAGAGCTTAACTATACATTTCAAATTTCACTGCAGCCTGTCTCACAAAAGAGAGAAGGCAGTTTTATACCACAGTGAAATTTATTGCCAGACAGACAGAGACCTTGCAAAGGACACAGTCAACCATGATAATGAAGAAATAAAAAGAAGGAAATGAATAAGACCCAGTTTTCCCTTTTCTAATTTGTGTATCACTTCTTATTTATGAAGTAATATTGTAGAACTTCTATCATTTGTAATATTAAGGAATGTGCATAACCTTAAGTCATTTGGATCTGCAAATAACACACAAGGGATATGTTTTAATCTTGGAGAAAGAAACAATTTAAATGAGAACGTAAAATGTGGATTATATAGAACTATAAATATGTGTTTGTATGCCAGATATTTGTTGTGTTTTCCTAAATGAAAAGCATATATGCATACATTACATAATTCAATTTTTAAAAATTCCTGATACATACTTCTGGCCTTTACAATCTTATACTGCTTCCCTTGACCCTGCTCCCATTCTACATATTACAATCACAAATTATTTAGGAAAAGAATAGGTAAGCAGGTGGACAGGAAAGGATATGAGCAGATGGGACAGAAGGTGAGGGATAAATTATTATGGCCTATGTATTAGAATAAATTACTATAATTAAACAATTAACACTTACTTAAAGATACCTACCAAATAGTAAGGAACACTAGGTCTAAAAATTAAGTTGGTTTTATCAGTACAGATAGATGGAGGTTCAAGGTCCAAGAAGTTCTGTCAAACTGAAGTGTGGGAGAAAGTGCCTTCAACTTATGCAAAGAGATGAAGAGACATGAAATAGTAAGGTAAGGAGGGGAATGATTTATGAAAAGAATAAGTCAGTTGACAGTAACCCAATATAGCAGGGAAAGCAGTGGGTTATTATTCAATTATGAATCACTTTTTTTTGTATTTTAATGATTCTGTTCTTATTTACTTTTTCTATACACCTTTCTGATTGCTTTTCAGCTTTTCATCTGACTAGTTACCACCTCAGCACACTTAACTGCTCAAAAATAGGTACTGGTAGGAATCCTTTTGAATAAAACTACCCACAATTCAGCATCACTAGAGTATCATTTTGTTTCTCCTTTAATCACAATTTCTAAAACTCAGAAGGCTCTTATTTTTTGATTAACCACAGCAGACAGATTTGCCTCTCATTTATATACATGACCTACTGTGACTGCACTTGGAAGAAATGCTTCCATGATGAACAAGCTGCCTCAAAGATGTTAGGTTGCCATCTTGGCCTGATTTTTTGGCCAATTTCCTTGGTATAATTCTTACAGTAACTTGCATGGCAATACTATGGAATATTTGATCCCTAAGAAAAAAATTTAAAAACCATTAAATAAGAAAGCAATCTTATAAGCTGGTTGTATCCTTTTCTTCACTGTACAATGTTCAAGCCAAATAAATGTGAGGCATTATCTGTGGATATCATAGTAGACACTGCACAATGCTGAAACTGCTTTGCCTTCCCTCTCTAGGCAGAGGCCCGTTTGCTGCCCCTGTAGTACACTGTGCTCACTCTTAATCAAAAAGATTCTTTTTCGTCCTGTCAGGCAAATCAGATCATTTCTAGGTATGGCCTCATCCTGATGAAAGTAAAAACTCATACCATACTCTAAGGACATCTTCCTGAAGCCTCAGGGCTTCCACTGCCACTGAATTTACTTGTTATCTTTCTCTTTTTATCACAAAAAAGGAGTCAGGATTTAGTTTGTGATTCAAAGGTTCTGGTCACTGCCTGGGGTGATAGCTATTTCTGCCACTTACTAGGTATATGCCCTCGTGCAAGTTAAAGATCCTTCCTGTGCTAACACTGTCTATGAAAAATAAAAACTAAAGAGCACTTATAGCATAGTGAAGAATAAATGATTGCACCTGGCCAGAATAGAGCTGCCACTGGCAGGGGCTAGGGATGGGTGTGGAATGATGACATCAGAATTAACTGGGAGGGAAAAAGGGAACTTTTTGTGATGATAGTTATGTTCTATATTTGGTAAGGATTTAGATAATAAATCTAAGCATTTGTTAAACCTCAGTGAATGTACAATTAAAATTTGAGCATTTCATTTTATGTAAACTTAAAGAAAAACTATAGACAAATATTTAACTCTTCTTAATGAAATACATGCTGAAATATTTACGGTAAAGTATGCTGATGTTTGCAGTTTACCTTGAAATGCATCAAAAAATAAGAGACTAATGGATGGATACAGGGTGGAGAGATGGATAAGTGATAAAAGCAGAGTAGAATGTTAACGGTAGAATCTTGGTGGTGGGTAAATCAGTGATCGCTGTAAAATTCTTTCAACTTGGCTTTATGTTTGAGGGAAGGAAACTACTACTTTTTCCATAAACTTTTGATCCCAAATTATGGTTTACTTAAATTAAAAAAGAAAAAAAAACCCTCTGGCATTCTTATATAAAAATCAATTACTTGCATTTCATTTATTACTTTCTAAAAAGTTTAACCACGCATGTAATTCAGGTAGTTACAGTTAATAAGATGACACATATACAAAAAGCAACTATTAAAATAAAGTAGGTAGGGACTTCCCTGGTGGCACAGTGGTTAAGAATCGGCCTGCCAATGCAGGGGACACGGGTTCGAACCCTGGTCCAGGAAGATGCCACATGCCGCGGAGCAACTAAGCCCGTGCGCCACAACTACTGAGCCTGCACTCTAGAGCCTGAGAGCCACAACTACTGAAGCCTGAGCACCTACAGCCTATGCTCCACAACAAGAGAAGCCACTGCAGTGAGAAGCCCACCTGCCCACTCTCCGCAATTAGAGAAAGCCCAAGTGCAACAACAAAAACCAAATGCAGCCAAATAAAGAGAATAGAGTAGGTAGAAAGAGAGAAGATAAAAAAGCAAATGTAATTTTACTGTATGATAAATCTCCCTCAAATAGTTTTCTATTTATTGAATACCTCTAACGGTGTACTATTTTAAAAAACTTCAACTGCCTACACATTATTCAAAAGGTGCTGTTAATGGATTTAGTGCTGAAAATGCTTCAATTTGTCATTTCTGATGAGGGGATATCAAATGATCAGATGATTTTATTTTATATAGCTCAGACTTAAATCATGAGCAATAGGTGGCAGTTAATGAACAAGATACGCAAATATATGTTGAGTTTCAAAAGGTTAGTTAAGTTAGGAGCTGCAACTTATCTACCTAACAAGGTTAAGCAATGTTTATAGCAAGAGAGCAGAGGTACAACAGGAAAAGAAAAGGGAAAGCTGGATGTAGGGTGGTAAGCGCTCCCGGGAATTAACTTCAAGTTGAAAGAATAATTGTTGGCATTTATCGGAGCTTTACAGCTGGGTAAAATATTAATTATGGCTTAATTGGTATTGATAAGACAATACAAAACGCTCCTTATGCATTTGAATAATAGTTTTTTTCAAAAAATTCACTTACTTGATTGTCATTTTCATTATCTTTGATAACCAAATACCTCAGTAAGTTTAATGAAGCCATTATCCTGTTAATTAAAAATACATAATTTATTACATACAGTACAGTTTCATATAATCAACAATTTCAATGAATAAAGGTAAGTTAAAACCTTGGGTATATTTCCACAATTATGTTTGCCATTAGAAGCTTCTCCCTTTAAAATACCTTATCAGCAAATGACGAGGTGGCCAAGTGGTCGAGGCGATGGACTGCTAAAATATCTTATCACACATCTCACCCCCTTAACATAACGTATTACTTTTGTTCTCCAAGTTCACAAAATATAATTGTGAAAATTACTATTCGTTTTTCCCCCAAGGGAGACTTGTTATCTTTAATGTTCGAGAGTACTGTCTTTCATTTCCTGAATTTTAAGATTCCTTTGAAAAATGCTTACAACCGTTTCTCAACGTTCATTCGAGTATACTGAAAGTAAAATTACATGTTGTATATGAAAAAAATTGATGTATGTCGTGGAAATAAAATCCAAATGTATAAGCCTTTTCTAAGTTATATACACGAAATTCTTAGTGTTTAGTCACCAGTGCTATAGTCCCAAATCTCTATGAGCTAGATACATCAAAGGTACAAAATCATACTGTTAGTCATAGTTCTGGAAAGAAGAATTTTTGATTTTGTTTTTATATAATATCTAATTACTTAAATATGAACATCTTTATGTAATTTGATGAACTAACCATTGATTATAAAATCACAGGAAAATACGTTTTATTTTAGTTTAGGTTCCCAAAGCAGGGGTTTCACATTTTATTCTGAATTTACTACGTGAACCTTAGTAATGGTCACCTCACCTATCTGAGTTTTGCAGTAGATCTGTTTCAGCACCCTCTGGGAGAAAAAGTACCAAATCTAGAAGGGAAATCAGCTGCGGTCCTGTAAACCATTTGTTATATGTTCTCTGAGAAGCAAAAGAAAAATTGAGAAAGGCTTTAAATAATAGGCTGTTAGATATATGTGTTTTTCTAATACCTTGATACTACAAAAAAAAGCTATTACACATTTAAAATATATATTTTTAACTTTAATTTCCATTCTTTCATTCACTATTTCTGGACACCTAGAACAAACTCTGCTAGTTTGAAAGCACTGGTGTGCTCTTTCTCTGTTCTCTATGTGGAATTACTGAGTATTCAATAATAGACTTCAGTTTCCATTAACATTTTACAAGTATACAGCAAAACAAAAAAGTCATATTATCAGTTTTAAAAATTAATACAATTTAAATCTATAGTTAACAAATTTCAAAATCCAGGTTTTTAAAAAAGAGTAGAAATGGAGAAAAAAATAAACAGGCATACCTCATTTTACTGCACTTCCCTTTACTGCATTTTTTACATATTGAAGGTTTATGGCAACTCTGTGTCAAGCAACTCTATCAGCACCATTTTTCCAACAGCATTTACTCACTTCACATCTGTGTCACATTTTGATAATTCTCAAAATTTTCAAACTTTCATTAATATATATTTGTCATGGTGATCTGTGATCAGTGATCTCTGATGTTACAATCGTTAACTCCTTTGGAGCACCATGAACCACGCTCATATAAGACGATGAACTTAATCAAAACGTGCTGTGTGTGTGTTCCAACTGCTCCAATGACTGGCCATTCCCCCATCTCTCTCCTTCTCCTCGGGCCTCCCTATTCCCTGAGACACAACAATACTGAAATTAGGCCAATTAATAACCCTACAAAGTATTCAAGTGAAAGGAAGAGTCATATATGTCTCATTTATCAAAAGCTAGAAATGATTAAGCTCAGTGAGGAATCATGTTGAAGGCCGAGATAGGCCTCTTGTGCCAAACAGTTAAGCCAAGTTGTGAAGGCAAAGGAAAAGTTCTTGAAGGAAATTAAAAGTGCTGCTCCAGTGAACACATGAATGATAAGAAAGTGAAACAGCCTTATTGCTGATATGGAGACAGTTTTAGTGGTCTGGATAGAAGATCAAACCAGCCACAACATTCTCTTAAGCCAAAACGTAATCCAGAGCAAGGTCCTAACTCTTCAATTTTATGAAGGCTAAGAGAGGTGAGAAAGCTGCAGAAGAAATGCTTGAAGCTAGCAGAGGTTGGTTCTTGAGATTTAAGGAAAGCAGCCATCTCCAGAACATAAAAGTGCAAGGTGAAGCAGCAAGTGCTGACATAGAAGCTGCAGTAAGTTATCCAGAAAATCTAGCTAAGGTAATTAATGAAGGTAGCTATACTAACCAAAAGATTTTCAAAGTAGATGAAAACAGTCTTACACTGAAACAAGATGCCATCTAGGCTTTCACAGCTAGAGAAGAAAATTCCTGACTTCAAAGCTTCAAAGGACAGGCTGACTCTGAGAGTAATACAGCTGGTGGCTTGAAGTTGAAGCCAATGCTTAAATTTTACCATTCCAAAAATTCTAGGGCCTGTAAGAATCATGCCAAATCTACTCTGCCTGTGCTGTATAAATGGAACAACAAAACCCTGATGACAGCACATGTTTGTAACATGGTTTACTGAATATCTTAACCCTACTGTTGAGACCTACTGCTCAGAAAAAAAGACTACTTTCAAAATATTACTGCTCACTGACAATGTACCTCATCCCCCAAAAGCTCTAATGGAGATGTAAAATGAGATTAATGTTGTCTTCACGCCTGCTAACACAGCATCCATTCTGCAGCCCATGGAAAAAGGAGTAATTTCAATTTCAACTTTAAAGTCTTATTCTTTAAGAAATACATTTCATAAAGCTATAGCTGCCATAGACAGTGATTCTTCTGATGGATCTGCACAGAGCAAATTGAAAACCTTGCGGAATCATTCCTGATTCATTGGGGAAAAGGTCAAAATATCAACGTTCACAGGAGTTTGGAATAAGTTGACTCCAACCCTCAAAGATGACTAGAAAGAGTTCAAGACTTCAGTGGAGGAAGTAACTACAAGTGTGGTGGAAATAGCAAGAGAACTAGAATTAGAAGTGGAGCCTGAAGATGTGACTGAATTGCTGCAATCTCAATGATAAAATCTGAACGGATGAAGAGTTGCTTCTCATGGGTGGGCAAAAATTGTTTCTTGACATGGAATGGACTCCTGGTGAAGATGCTATGAAGACTGCTGAAATAACAACAAAGGATTTAGAATATTACATAAACTTAGTTGATACAGTGGTGGCAGAGTTTGAGAGGATTGACTCCAATTTTCAGAGAAGTTCTACTGTAGGTAAAATGCTGTCAAACAGCATTGCATGTTACACAGAAATCACTCGTGAAAGGAAGAGTCAATCTGTGTGGCAATCTTCATTGTTGTCTTATGTTAAGAAATTGCCTCAGACACCCCAACCTTCAGCAACCACCGCCTTGATCAGTAAGCTGCCATCAACATTGAGGCAAGACCCTCCACCAGCAAAAATATTACAAGTCACTGAAAGCTCAGATGATGGTTAGCATTTTTTAGAAATAAAGTATTTTAAAATTAAGGTATGTACATTGTTTTTTTTAAGATATAATATTGTACTTAACAGACTAAAATATAGTGTAATTAACTTTGATATGCACTGGGGAAAACAAAAAATTTGTGTGACTTGCTTTACTGAGACTTGTGTGACTTGCTTTACTGAGATTTTTGCTTTATCGTGGTGGTCTGGACTATCTCTGAGGTATGCCTGTACCCTAATACTAGAGATATAAAACGTCCACAGAGCAAAATTCCACATTAATAAATTCCACAAATGAATAAATATATCCTACAAAATAAATTGATAAATGACACCTTAGTTATGCTCTTACCTTTAATGACATGTCAATTTGATTTTTGATATTTTGAATAATAAAGGCCTCCACACCTGAGTGATTACTTGTATTCAATAAGCACCTTTAAAGCAAAATTACAATACATTTGAAATTATCTAGACTGCATTATAATTAAATGATAATGAAAGTTTTACAAATTCAAATGGGGCATGTGCTATTTCTAGGAATACAAAAACCAGTGCATACAATTAGCAAGGTGATCAACCAATTACAAAGTCACTTATTATGATTTCTGCCCTAACTGGCAAATTCTATTTTAACTGGGTCTTTCCAACAGGAAATTTCTATTAAACCAAATTTGAATCTTTTTATGCATATAGTTGCAATGATTTAACATGGCAAGGATGGTCACTAGTGTAATAGCCTAAAAACTCCCCAAATTACTCCCTGTTAGACTAGTCTGGTTAGACTAACTTAATTGCAAAGAAAGGAAACTCAGTAATGAGCTTAAGAAGAAGGGGGAGATTTTGGGGTAGGAATACAGGTAGATCAGAATAGGAAGCTGGTAGAAGGCATAAGCATCAAACTGAGGTTTCATAAACCTGCTATGACTCTATCAATAGAAATGAAAAAAAGATAAAATCAAGAGTTCTAGTATTGGCCAATCCCAAAGAACACTCCTTAGCACTCTGACATTGCCCCAATTTGGTTTTAACTCATTGTTATTACCTAGGTATCAACAAACTAAGGTCTGCAGGCCAAATCCAGCCTACTGCCTGTTTTGTTTTATTGGAACACACTTACCCCCACTACAAAGTTGAGCAGCTGCAACAGAGACTGTGTGGCCTACAAAGACTATACTTACTTATGGCCCTTTAAGAAAGTTTGCTGATCTTCAACTCAGAGAGTTGCTAGAATCTTTTCCTCCTCAAACAGTACTATGAATAAGCTCCACTGTTAAAGTGTATATAGCCTGTCAAAAGTTATAACTCCAGGGCTTCCCTGGTGGTGCTGTAGTTGAGAGTTTGCCTGCCGATGCAGGGCACATGGGTTCCTGCCCCGGTCTGGGAGGATCCCACATGCCGTGGAGCAGCTGGGCCCGTGAGCCATGGCCACTGAGCCTGCATGTCCGGAGCCTGTGCTCTGCAGTGGGAGAGGCCACAGCAGTGAGAGGCCCGCGTACCACAAAAAAAAAAAAAAAAAAAGTTATAACTCCAGAGCCATTCATTTCAACTGTGAATAATGGACATTATTGACATATGTAAAGCTCTAGCAGGAGCCCCACCAATCTCAGTTTAATCTTCTAAGTCTATTTTAATTTTAGAGTATTTCAATTAAACTGAAATATATACTATTATTCATGTAATATATATTTATATATGTATACATAATTTTTGATTAACCCTTCACTACCTAACACAGAGAAGAGAATTTATTATGATGTGGATTCCAAGTAGAGAAGAATTACATGTAAAACATACCAAAATACAGTAACCTAGAATAATTAATGGCATTAATTTGGTTTTTAATCAACCACACATTTTGCAATTAACCATTGATACATACCTAAATAAAGTATATTTGCCTTGTGGATCCAACTTGTTAATATACAGCTGAAGCATAGCTAAACCCTTTTTCCTCTAAAATGGAACAAATAATATTGTTATATAAACTAAAGATTATTTATTAAAATTTCTCACTGTAACTCATTTAGTTCCAGACATTTACATACCAGTGTCTCAGTGGGGCAGAGTGTCATTACTTTGACTAAGCCCTGGAAATTAAAAAAATTTTTTAATTCAAACATTAGATTATATTGACTACAAAGAAACAACTATATTATCAATGGACACTAAAAATTCAGAGAAATGAGGGCAAGAGATTTAAAGATGAAGTAAATTTTTCCCTGAGCCTTTCATTCTACTGTTTTGTCTACAGGGAGCTTAGTACAATCCATTTTGTAAGTGCTATTGAGTGGGTGTTACAAAGTATATCGTTAGAAGTAATTTTCAATTATGTCTAGAGTGGCAAAAAAAATGAAACCGAACATACAGAAATATAATCCATTAATTTAAAATAATCAGGCTTATTATACTAACAAAAGCCGTATTTTTCTATTTAAATAGTGGAAAAACAATTTTCTACATTGACATCCAACACCTACTTGGCTATGATAACTAACAAACAGTATAACTAATAAACAGGCAAAATAAATCACAGGAGGGAAAAAAAAAATGTCTTTGTAGTAATGAGTTATACACGCCTTGATGGAGTCCTGAGGACTTGAGTTATGATAAAAGTAAAGGAGCTTCATTTTCCAGGGTTTCTACAGAACCAAAGTGTTGAGGACGCAAGTTATATTTTTCCACTACATGCTATGCTGTCAACTACAGTAGCCACTAGCCACATACAGCTATTTAAGTTTAAATTAATTTAAATTAAATAAAATTTAGAATTCAGTTCCACATTTCAAGTGAACATCTCAAGTGTTCAGTGTGGCTAGTGGCTTTCAAACTGTATGGCACAGATAATAGGACAATTTTACCATCACAAAAAGTCCTATTGGACAGCAAGGCACTAGAGTTTTCAAAGGATATGGAGAAGAAAGTGGGAGAGGAGTCTGAAAAGACCTTTACTTAAGTTCAGAATAGGAAAGGGGCTTTTTTCAAGATTAGAATACATATTTTACTTACCTGAGGTACAGTAAGAAAACTCTTGATTTCTAAGTGCTGGTGAAGTAGACTGTTGTCCTCTATTCTCAATAAACCATTCTCCAACAGATACTACAGATGAAAATATACGCAGAGATACATATATGGTAAAGTCAACAGCTGTATTTGTTAACATGACTATGTATTTAAATTATAATGGGTGCAAACAAATCTTACCAATCCTTTGGAGAAAACAGACTCCTCTGTTCTGGAAGAGAATATTAAAATTTATCAACATGGTTTTCTAAACTGCTTTAGAATTATTCTTCATTTTAGGAAAAATAAAGCAAAAATTAAATTTAAATACTTAAAAAATACATATTAAGGAGAAATTCTATTGAAGAACCTAGTCAAAATTCTTAACCCACCTTTGATCTGTCTTTTGATTTGGCTACTGATATCCAAATCTAACCAAAAGCAGCCCACTCAGGGCTTATTTCCTGGTATCAGATCAGTAGATCTTCAACAGTAAGTGCTAAGAAATCAATTATACCTGATATAATACTAAGTATTCTAATTGATTAATCGGTAAAATCTTCTCAATTCTTTATATATATATATATATAAATTATATATATATATAAATTAATGCTTTCCATTTGTGATTATTAAGTTTTACAATCATTGTTAACTAAATATTTAAGATCTGTGGCAAAAAATATTATCTCAGGCTCCAGGTTCTTATTCTAACCATACAAGGAATTAAAAATGTTACATTTTTTGGCTCAATCACTAAACAGTTTGGAAATCTTAAGACTATAGAACTTAAGATTGAAATCAATACATATTCTCATTTTATGAATATAACAGAAGCTAAGTAAAAATGTAAAATCATTAAGATGTACATAATACAGTAAATTTACAGAGTTAATAACTACTTGTGCCAGGAGACCCTTAGAAATTCCTGCCTTGTAGGCTGAGGCTTTGGACATTTGCCATGTTACAAATCTTCCTTCACCTGGCAAGAGATGGGATTAATAAACTGTCACCAGTATTCCTAGAGGATAAGGCCCTGACTGATCTCAAGAGATAATTTAAATATGTTATAGAAAAAGAAAACAAAGCATATAGAGTTTGGCAAAATTCTTAAATATCTGTCTGGGAAAATTACGCATACCTGTTACTTGGTAATTTTTTTTAAAAAGAGGAAGTCTTCCTTCTTATTAGTGCCTCAAATGAGAAAAGCTATTGAATGATATCACTATCAATAATCTAAGTTATAAAAAGTGGAGTTAAGACACTTCCTTCCTTTTGATGCAGTTCACAGACTGTGTCCATGAAGCAAAACTAAGGATGAATTTCTTTTATTGACCACCCCTCCTTAGATCAGACAAGGCTGCAGTGGGATAGAGGTGGTTTAATTTATCAACTTCTAAAATAAGCAAAGAAATCTTAGAAGCAGATGACTGGAAACCTCCTTAGAAGACAATATTTTAAAATTATCTTCAGTTTAAAATAAGAGGTTTTGTTGTAAAAACCTCCTTGGTTCATTTCTCTCTCTGCTGTGAATATCTGCTTCACTATTTTATAAAATAATTAATTAACTAGGGTCTGGCAAAGAGAAAGTCTTCCCTGATCTTGACAAGGACTATTTTAACATTACTATTTAATTCTGAGATGCCATCTAAATGATCTTACCTTTGTAAAAGGACTTCAATATGCCCCATATTAAATTGCAAAAGGTATGATGGGCTAAAATAGGAAAAAAATGTATATATAAACACACACACATACACACGCACCTTTAGTTTTACATACATAAATACTGTTATGGGTTGAATTGTGTCCCCTCAAAAAAGATACGCTGGGGCTTCCCTGGTAGCGCAGTGGTTGAGAGTCTGCCTGCCGATGCAGGGGACACGGATTCGTGCCCCGGTCCGGGAAGACCCCGCATGACGCGGAGCGGCTGGGCCCGTGAGCCATGGCCGCTGAACCTGTGCGTCTGGAGCCTGTGCTCCGCAACGGGAGAGGCCACGGCAGTGAGAGGCCCATGCTGGAGTCCTAACTGCCAGTACCTCAGCATATGACCTCATATGGAGAAAAAGTCTCTCTTTCTTAAAAAGTTGGGGTAGTGATGGGCAGGCACAGAGCAGGACCCCCGCCCCACCCTAGGGACAGGATCTTTACAGAGGTAATCAAGATAAACTGAGGTCATTAATATTAGTCTTAATCCAGTATGACTGGTATCCTTATAAAAAAGGGAAATGTGGACAGAGACCAGCACACAGGGAGAATTCTATATGAACATGAAGGCAGAGACTGGAGTGATGCATCTATAAGCCAAAGAACATCAAGGACTGCCAGTAAACCACCAGAAGCTAGGAAAGAAGCATGGAACAGATTCTCCTTCACAGCACTCAGAAGGAACCAATCCTGACCACACCTTGACCTCAGACTTCTAACCTCTAGAATGATAAGATAATAAATTTCTGTTATTTTAAGCTATCCACAGTGTGTGGTACTTTGTTATGGCAGCTCTAGCACACTAATATACATACCTAAGTCATTCTGGTGGTAGAGTGTGATTAAGGGTATATGCTCTGGGGTCAGACAGAACTATGTTTGAATTCCACCTATCCTACTAACTAGTTGTATGATCTTGGGTGGTATGTATCGTAACTTGTCTAAGCTAGTTATTTTCATCTGTAAAATGAGATAGTGCTCTATTTAAAAGGGTTATTATAAAGATTAGATAATGTATACAAAGCTGTTATAGTGTTTAATACATGGTAAACATGCAAGTGGTAGCTATTATTGCTATATTTACATACAAATGTATCTCCAGGTATATTCATACCTAAATATACAAATTACACAAATACGCCCAAGGCCTGCAACACAAATACACAATCTTTATTATCATGGACCTTAAAGTCTAAAAGGTGTTACATTATAGAAATATGTATTTATTTTTTAAAGTTTTGATTAAAAATTTAGTTTAAAAACTTTATGGGAAATGAAACACAAGGTCAAGGTCATTGTAACAGGAAGATTCAGCCTAAATTGGGTGGTAAAGAAGGCTTTCCTCAGAAAGCTATATTTAGGATAAAGATGGTTCTAAGCGTGTACAAAGGTCTTATAGCAGGAAGGTTCATGACACATGTGAACAAGAAACCAAAAGATCTGTGTTACTGGAGCACAGTAAACAAGAGGAAAGTTGGTAGGAGATGAATCAGGACAATAAAGCAAGGACCAGATCATGCATAAGCTTGTCTCATGGGAAGGCATTTAAGACTTTATTCTTAGAGCCATTTAGGAAGCCACTGAAGGGTTTTCATTAAGGGACGACTCTTAAAGGCTTCACTTTCTATGTGTTGAGAATAAATTGGATTAAAAGGGATTGAGGGTAGATATATAAATATACACTCAGGATTACATTAATAATCCAGTGAAAAGATGATGGCAGGGCTTCCCTGGTGGCGCAGTGGTTGAGAATCTGCCTGCCAATGCAGACGACACAGGTTCGAGCCCTGGTCTGGGAAAATCCCACATGCCATGGAGCGACTGGGCCCGTGAGCCACAATTACTGAGCCTGCGCGTCTGGAGCCTGTGCTCCGCAACAACAGAGGCCGCGATAGTGAGAGGCCTGCGCACCGCGATGAAGAGTGACCCCCACTTGCCACAACTAGAGAAAGCCCATGCACAGAAATGAAGACCCAACACAGCCATAAATAAATAAATAAATACATTGTGTATTATTAAAAAAAAAAAAAAAAAAAAAGATGATGGCAATTTAGACTATCCTATTGGTAACTGGCCCAACAGCTTCAAAACCAAGTTCAGTTTAACACTTTTTTTTTTTTTTTTTTGCGGTACACGGGCCTCTCACTGTTCCGGCCTCTCCCTTGCGGAGCACAGGCTCCGGACGCACAGGCTCAGCGGCCATGGCTCACGGGCCCAGCCGCTCCACGGCACGTGGGATCCTCCCGGACCGGGGCACAAACCCGTGTCCCCTGCATCGGCAGGCAGACTCTCAACCACTGCACCACCAGGGAAGCCCCCAGTTTAACACTTTGTGACTCTTGTCCAAATCATTCCTTAAGTCTATTTCAACACCCACCCACCCAACCACTTTCACTACTTGATGACTACTGGCTTTAAGGGATTATACGCAGTAATATTTAGCATAAAAACAGGTTTTGTTTGTACTTCATTGAAAATGTACTACTACATTAAAAAACACATATTGGACATTAGATAAATGAGTTTGATGCTATTCCTTTCAGAATATATAAATAAACAATAACTCCTACCTTAAGACCATTGGAAGCTGATCAATACTGATGCCCTGTACAAATACTAGATATGCCAGAGAAGCCATAGAGTCTGATAACTGTTTGTCTTCTTCTTCCTCAAATTCAAGATAATCCCAAGTCTTCTTTTTCCTTCCATGATTAAAAATCATTTTGAGGAAAGGGTGTCCAATTGCTGATAAAAATCCCTGTGAAATGGATAAAAAAGGAAGCTATAGCAGACACTCTACTGTGCCATCTCCCACCCCATATTCACATCCTAAAAAATCCCCATCCTATAAAATCCCCTCCTCTTGAGTGTCAGTGGGACCTGTGAGACTTGCTTCTAACCAACAGAATATGGCAAGATGCCACTCCTATGATTATATTATGTTATATGACAAAAGTGAAGGGATTTTTGCAGATGTAATTAAAGTCCCAAGTCAGCTGATTTGAGTTGAGAAGAGACACTATTCTCCATGGGCCCGACTTAACAGGAAGAACATTTTTAAACAGGATCCAGGCCCTCCTTAAGAGTCAGAAACTCACCCCTGCTGGCTTTAAAGAACTAATCTGCCAAGTTATGAGGGGGCCTATGAAGAGGGCTGTCTGTCAAGGAGCCACAGGCAGCTTATAGAAACTGAAAAGTGTTCCCTGGCCAGCAAGAAAATGGGGACCTCAATCCTACAGGTTCAAGAAGATAAGTTTTTGCCAACAACCTGAAGGAACTAAGTGGGTGGGAAGATGAAACAGTTCTGGAGATGGATGGTGGTGATCATTACACAACAATGTGAATGTACTTAATGCCACTGAACTATACAGTTAATGGTTAAAATGGTAAATTATATATATATTTTATCACAATTTAAAAAATGCTTGAGATATTTGAAAACAATCTAAAAACGTGAGACATACAAGTATCATGAAATGACAATAAACTACTCAAATGAAGAATACTCTAGGAATGCTCTACTGACCACTGTCTGCCTGGATACTGAGTGGGCAGGAGGAATACTGGCCAGTGGCTGAAGAGACAGAGGAAACAGTACTGATACCTCAGGTCATATGGGCTCTTGTGTTGTAGGAGAAAGAGAAGCATCCCTGCCTGAGTTAACTGACTACAGTTTTATGTTTGTTCATTTGTTTTAAGGGGGGAAGGAAAGAGAAAAAGAGAGACTTAAGAAATACAAGGTCACTCCTATGCCTCTTATATCATTTCCAATTCTAGTGTGCTGGAAAGCACCTGACCTTCAGTATCCAATGAAATTAATCTGAGTTTTGGCTCCACCACCTATTAGCTGTTAGACACTGGGTTAGTTACCTAACCTCTTTAAAGCTTCAGTTTCCTTATCTAGAAAACGACATAATACGTATGTCAATATTTATTGAGAAGCTCCACCAAAAAAGTTTAAGAAAGTTAAGGTCACAACAAACTACTATATAGAAGTCAAGGGAACAGCTAAGCTAAAGCTGACCTTCCACATATTCACTCATTTATTCAATAAATACTTGAGTGCCAGGCACTGGGCCTGCCCATTGTAGAGAATTAGAAAGCCAAATAACACTTTTCTGGTCTTCAGGGAGTTAAAACCTGCCTACTCCAGATGTCTCCATTAGTCATTTCAGAACACAAAAATCAACCATGGAAAATAATCCTCAGTCACAAGAGACTGCTATTCAGCCACCAGATGCTAAATACATACTGATTTTCGAAGCCTTGCATTCTTGTTATATCCATAAAACAAAAATTTACTGTATTCAGATTCCAAATGTCCTCTTAATCATGAAGCTCCATTTCTTCATTCAGCCAATGCTAGATGTGTTTTGGGTTTTTTTTTCCAGAGGAAGGTTATTAGCCTTTTAAAAAATCATTATATGTAACCAGATCCTACAGTGCTGCTGTAGATATTAGGGGTCCATCTGTGTCCAATTAGGGTCTTCACTATCTATCCACACACCATCCAGCAGCCTTGCTCAGACCCAACATACCTGCACCTCTACAATTTCTCAAGGCAGTCTTTGCCCTTTCATGAAATGTTCCTATGCTGCTGCCCCTAGGACATTCAAGCAGTTCTATACCAAAACAACTTGTGCCAGAGGGATGGCTGAGGCATGCCACATTTACCTATACTTCAGCATAGAACAGAAGGCACCTCCTCACTTCACTTCCTACCCTGATTTCACTTCTATTTCTTAACTGCTTTGTGCTTCCTCACTGCTGGCTTTACTTGTAATGTGCCTTCCACTGACTGAGACCTTAGAACCTCTTCCCTATACCCTCAACCTCTTCATAGGATGCTGACTCTATCTCACTGCTCTCATTAAACCTGACTGGTTTCTGGTGGGAGCTGCTCATACTCTCACACCTCTTACATTGCACAGCGAGGAAGGCAGCAGTAGGAAAGGGTGGTATGGGTAGAGGCTTAGTATTATCTTGGTTCTTCCTGCACTCTCAGGCAAAAGCACATTTTCCTTTGAGGCAGGTGCCATACTGCCCTTTATCTGTCCTCATCTCTGTCATACGCTGACTTCCTGGTCATTTCCCCATGTTCACGGAAGACTGGTACCTGCTCACATCCTTTTTCTCTATCCAACTCCTGCTATGATCCTAGAAAAATTGCATGTTCATGTAGATAACTCCTGTAACAGGCCAGCCTCATGGTTTTTCTGACCACTAAATTCTAATGACCTTAATTTCTAATCCGTTTTGGCACCTAATTCCATCCTGGATCTCTATCAAAATTTGGAACTATTCCATATTAGATACCTAAACTCCAGCATCTCATTTTCTGACCACAATTTCTTGTTTTATCGCCCATGCCAACCTACTCATCTACCTCTAACTTCTCTAGTCTTGTTATGCCTTCATTTTAACCTACCCATCTGTCCCCTCTTAATCTCCTTCTTTCCCAAAACAGCTACAAACCACCTTCTCTACTTCTACACCCAGGTAGCTGAGTACTGCTCGAGAAAAATCACACAAAAATAGTATTATCACTATAGTTGTGGTCTCCAACCACAGTCGCCAAGTGCTTAGCACTACTGACTAATATTTTCTTCGTCTTCTACCTCTCTTTTCTTTCCACTCAATATTCTAAACCTTTACCAGTTTCCTGAAGCCCCTTGTTCAGCCCTCATTTCCGCCTCTCATTCTTTTTTTTTTGTGGTACGCAGGCCTCTCACTGTTGTGGCCTCTCCTGTTGCGGGGCACAGGCTCTGGACGTGCAGGCTCAGCGGCCATGGCTCACGGGCCTAGCCGCTCTGTGGCACGTGGGATCTTCCCGGCCAAGGGCACGAACCCATGCCCCCTGCATCGGCAGGCAGACTCTCAACCACTGCACCACCAGGGAAGCCCTTCACCTCTCATTCTTAAGGGATCTGAGGACAGTGGGTCTGATTCCCTCAATTATAATAATATTAATAATTATATTATAATAATAATATAATTCCCTCAATTATAATACTCCATTTCTGCTACAAATTTTTCTATCTACATACCAGTTCTTGCCTCTTCCTCTCCAGGTGTCCTCAATCCCATGCCCGGCTGTCTGCTCTCCTTGAGCCACATTATTTCAGTTATCCCATAAGACTTCTCTTTTCCCCTGTGATGGCTCCCACCCCTTCAGTCTATAAACATGCTCACACCTCCTGTCTCCCCCAGTTACCTTCCTATCTAAGGCCGTGTCTTCTCTATTTCCTCTCTTCTTCCTTATTCATCCAAACTCTTAAAGAATAGCTTATACTAGTCATCTCCTTTTTCTCATTTTTCATGCACTCCTTTATCTAGTCCACTGATTTTTGTCTCCCACACTCCACTCAAACTGCTCTTGCTAAGATTATCAATGTCATCTTACTTCCTAAATCCAACGGATGCTTTTCAACTCCTACTCTACAGACTATCTCTGCTGCTTTTAACAGTAGCAATCATTTCCTTCTTCCTGAACTCCACTACCCCAGTTCTGTGATATTTTCATCACCTCTTTGACTCTCCTTTCTTGGTCTCTTTGGTGGGCTCATCTTAAGTGCTGGTACCCTACAGGATTCAGTCCTGAACGCTTTTCTTTTCTCACATTGATCTACCGCTTTGGGTAATCTCATCTACTCTTTTCCAAAATCTGCTCCTTAAAAACCTGTTCTCTCTGGGTATTAGAGATACATATATTAGAAATTATTGTTAATCTTGTTAGGTGTCATAATGGCATTGTGGCTATGTTTTTTAAAAAGTCTTTACCAATAAGAGAAGCATACACAAAGACTCACAGATGAAATGATATATCTAGACTTTCTATAAAATACTACAGCAAAAAAAGAGGGAGGCTGGGGGTGGGGGGAGGGATGAACTGGGAGATTGGGACTGACATACACGCACTACTGTATATAAAATAGATCACTAACAAGGACCTACTGTATAGCACAGGGACTCTACTCAGTACTCTGTAATGGCCTATTACAGAGAAAGAATAAGAGTGGATATATGTATATGTATAACTGAATCACTTTGCTATACACCTAAAACTAACACAACATCAACAATACACAGTATTGATACACAGTATCAACTATACACCAATAAAAATTAATTTTAAAAAATTAAAAAAAAATAAACTAACTTTACATTGCTTATCAACTCAAGAAAAAAGAGGGAGGCTAGATAAAACAAGACTGGCAAAAAGGTTGATAATTGTTAAAGCGGGGCAGGAGGTACATTAGAGTATGTTATATTGTTCTATTTTTATGAATGTCTTATATTTCCATAATAAAAAAATTTTTTTAAGTACAAAACCCCCTACTGCTTGCTGTGTATTCTCTATCTTAATTATTGGCAACTTCACCTGTCCTGTTAACTAAGCAAAAAACCTTGTCCATAACTCAACCTTTTTACTATTCTTCTAAATCCAATCCATTACCAAACTTTGCTAATTTTATCTACCTTTAAAGTTCTCAAATCTGCCTTCTCTTCTTTCCATACTCAGGCTCTCATCATTATCACGTAACTCCCAAAAGACACCTAACCCATCTCCCTACTTCCACTCTTAGTTAAGTTCATCCTCCAATAAAGTGATGAACTCAAAACAGTTTGATTATATCACTCCCAGGCTTAAAATCCTTAACAGTTTCCAACTTTCATAGACATCTTGGGGTACATATATCATATATGGTGCTGTTTATATTGGATCCAGAGGTTTACACTGTACTCTAGCATTGGCAACAATGAAGAGGCCCCAGGCTCTTATGTGCTCCTGGGAAAATCCCTTCCCCCATCCCTCTTCATCACTCATAACCCCTTTACCGCTACCTTGACCATTGGCATTAACCCCATTAAACTATGTATCTGTTTGTATCAGTTACCAAATCATCTCTCATCCTCAGAAGCTATTTCCCCTAAAGTTCTGGCATCTCCTCTCCTAACTCCTCCTATCCCTCCTCAAATTTCAAATTCAGGATACAGAGGGCTGACTGTAAGTTATACACAGATTTTTGACTGAGCAGAGTTGTGGTGCCCCTACCCCCTGAGCATTGTTCAAGGGTCAACTATATAATATGATAGGATCTATTCAAAAATTATATATGTATATATTTATTTATTTATAAGTATTAGAGCAGAAAAAAGTCTGGAAAGTGTTGTGAGATAACAGAAAATATATCTATATTGGTCTCTGCTAATGGTTGCTGGCACAGGGCTCCTGAAATCCTTTTTTTTCTTTTTTTCCTGAAACCCTTATAACTTCCTAAGTGATAAGAGCACTAGGCACATCTCTTGTTCTAATGTTGGTCTTTAACCCTGTCCCTTACAAAGAGCTCTAAAACCTCTGTAAATTCTTAAATGATAAGACACTAGGAGCATCTTTTGTTCTATTAAAGTGACTCTGAGTGGGCACTAAGATGGTTCCTGGATGGGGGGTGGTAATGAGAAAGACCAAGCCATGATTAGAAGCTTGGAATTTTGAGCCCCATCCCTCAGTTCTGTAGAGAGGGGAGAGGGACTGGAAATGGAGTTAATATCTTATCATGCCTAAATGAGGAAGCCTCCATAAAATCCCCGAAGTATGGGTTTCAGAGAGCTTCCAGGTTAGCGAACACATCCACATACTGGGAGCGTGACGCACTCCAACATCATGAGAACAGAAGCTCATGCACTTGAGACCCTCCCAAACCTTGACCTATGTTTAATTATCTCTTCATTTGGCTGTTCATCTGCATCCTTTATCATATCCTTTAATAAACTAGTAAACATAAGTAAGGGTTTCCTTTAATTCTGTGAGCCGTTCTAGCAAATAATCGAACCCAAAGGGGAGGAGGTCACGGAACCTCTGATTTGTAGCCAAGTCAAACAGAAGTTGTGGGTAACCTGGGGACCTAACACGAGCACTTGGCATCTGAAATAGGGAGCAGTCTCATGGGACTGAGCCCTTAACCTGCAGAATCTGATACTATCTCCAGGTAGTTAGTGTCAAAATTGAGTTTAACTGTAGGACACCCAGCTGGTGCTGCAGAATTGTTTCGTGTGGGAAAGAAACCCAATGGGACTTCCCTGGTGGCTGCATTGGTAGGCTGATTCCCTCAGAGGCTAGGAATCTGCCTACCAATGCAGGGGACACGGGTTCGAGTCCTGGTCCAGGAAGATCCCACATACGGTGGAGCAACTAAGCCCGTGTGCCACAACTACTGAGCTTGTGCACCTAGAGCCAGTGCTCTGCAACAAGAGAAGCCACCGCAATGAGTAGCACACGCACCACAATGAAGAGTAGCCCCCGCTCGCCACAACTAGAGAAAGCCCATGTGCAGCAACGAAGACCCAACACGGCTAAAAATAAATAAATAAATAAATTTATTTTTTAAAAAAGAAAAGATAAAACCCCCACACATTTTATGACCAGAAATGCCAGAAGTGAAGTGTTCTGAGTGAAAGTAAAGGAAAAAGACACAGAAGGAGAACTGTAGATTTTTCCAATACAGGTGTTAATATTATTTATATCTAGTTATTGAAATTATTGCTGTTTGTTTTTCATCTTTTTGTTTATCTATATTCTATAAAAAATACATATTGCTTTATTAATAAATGTATCTATTTACCTGCCCATGTGCAGTATATGAGAATACAGCAGGTAATATTTTAGATTATAGCAGATTTTATAACATTAAATTAGCTGTACTTACTATTATTTCAGATGCAAAACACCTTAAAGGATCATCTACAGTGTCATCAGACTGCTCAAGGAATTGTGCTGTCAGCAAAGGGCATTTCAAGCTTCTGAAACAACTAAAATTTAAGAAATGGGTAACGATGAATACAGCACTTCCTAAGTATAAAATAACTAGTTTTCACATGAAAAATAACATAAGCACCAATAACCCAATGGCCTGTAAAACTGGTGATGTAAGATCCTTCTTACTAGTAATGGGGAGAGCATGAGAATACCTTGCTAGATTCAATGTAGAGAGAGTCACTTCCATGTCTGGAAGTGGATACTGAATATTTATCTTAGGACCAGTGCCAGTGTATATGTAGTTTTCATTAGTTTAAGGAAAATCAGGACAATGAAGTAATTTTTTCATAAAGCTATATTTGTTTTATTTAGAAAATCAAATTTATTCTGTGATTAAGCCTTACCTACTTTAGTTAAAATATGTTTTCTTTCAGGAAATAATGGGTTTTATAAATGGTAAAAAAATGCTTTAATGTCCTAACCTGACAAAATAAAAAGCTGACAGTGGTTTTAGTCTCAAAATTTTAAAACTAAAATTACTGGTCCATGTTGTTCAATATAATCCAGTCCAGCACTATCCAAGAGTCCCATATATAATTAAAGCCCCATATATAATTAAAAATTTTTTAGTAGTCACATTAAAATAGTAAGAGACAAGAGAAATTAATTTAAATAATTTATCTTATTATTAACCCATATGTCAGAAACATTATTTCAATGTTACCAGTATAAAAATTATTGAGGTATTTTAGTATTTCTTTTAGTAACAAGTCTTCGAAATACAGGGAGGATTTTACACTTAGAGCACTAAATTTGGACTAACCATATGTCAAGTGTTTGACAGCCATACTGAACAGTGCATACATAGACTACAGCAGGGGTCCCCAACCCCTGGGCCACGGACCGGTACTGGTCCTCGACCTGGTAGGAACCGGGCCGCACAGCAGGAGGTGAGCAGCGGGCGAGCCAGCGAAGCTTCATCTGCCGCTCCCCATCACCCCCCATGGCTCCCCATCACTTGCATTACCGCCTGAACCATCCCCCCACCTCCCGCCCCTCCTCGTCCGTGGAAAAATTGTCTACCACGAAACTGGTCCCTGGTGCCAAAAAGGTTGGGGACTGCTGGTCTACAGTACCCCTGGAGTGAATGCTACCGGGTTCTCTGCTAGTGTTTCTGTTGTCAAATTGGAAGTTCAACTGTCTGGTGCCTCTTCTGCTGCTTTCAAAGGGAGAGTAAAAACATAATTCCCCTGCAGAAAACCAGATTCTTTGAGCTACATCCATCTATTTCCTTCACTGCTATTATTCACTTACCATGATGAGTAAAGGCAATCCATAGAAGAATATAAGTAAACTAAACAAATGGATTTTGGTTTCATTTTTTTTTAAATATCAATGCTTCATTAAATGCCCATGTTATATCAACTGAACCCCATATTCTTCTAAAATTCAAAATTAGAAACTAGATTTAAATTTCCATTGCAAACAAATAAAACAAAGAAGCATAAAATAACTGAACTATCACTTAAGTCCTTTATGAATTATTCTTAAAAATATACTTACAATTTCAGTATTTCATCCTTTAATTTTTCATTTTCCATTGAGCTTTCCTTGTTATCAATGACATCTTCCACAAAAGGCTTAGTGAACTCTATTAAGGCCTTGCAGCACTGACAAAGGCCATAGTCATCTGCTTGTATTTGTTCTTTTGAGTATGGAACAGGAAGGAGAGACAGCTGACTCCAAAGCGTAGACAATGCTAATCCAACTGAATATGCCTTGTTGTTACGAAGTTTCTGAATCACTAAAACAGAGACCAAGTTGTTACTTGAGGCAGCCTCATCAAGTATGCTAAACATGGGAGAAGTCCAATAAATGCAGAAGTACAACACATATTTCCCCCCCATATTTTGACAACTCTGAGATCAGGATGACATATCATAGCTTAACTGGCAGTATTTTTTTCCTTCTTTGGGGTTCATAAAATAATGGAGCATCTTACAATCATGGCACTTTACAACAGATGCCATGAAATTTTGTTTAGGTATGTTTATACCACAGGTTACATACTTAAAACGAAAACACTTATTTCCATATTTTTTGGCTGTTATAAGTATAAAGTAGGAACAAGTGTCTTGTAAACTATAAGGCACTGTAAAAATGAAAGGCAGTAGTATTAGATTTTTTTTCTAGAAGACTTTAAATATTTCAAGTTATACAAAGCTGTTGGGAATTCACATTTAAAATAAATTTACTCTAGCTTCTGATTTTGGGTCCTTCTACCAGACTCTGAGTTATATGTACGTTATAAAATAAAAAAGTGGTCTCTTCCCATGCATAAATACTGTCTGCCTTGGTTGCCAAAGTCCATTACTTATCAATACTGTTTTTGCACTTAGTTATGGAAACTTTTCTTTCCACACTTGTTTCATTGTTCAGTAGTACCTTTGTTATTCCCAATCCCAACCTCCTAAAGCAAAGGCTGAGCAATGCCCTGCCCGATACTGTTCTTAATTAAGATACATGACTACCACAATGCTATCAAACTGAGCACTGCAGAGGCAATCCTTTAAATATGTTTACAGGAAAAATTCTAAATATAAGCTGCAGAAAGGAAGGTTAAGCAAAAACTATAGGTCACAACAAAGCACATAAAAAAGAGCATGACATTCAACAAAATATTTACTGGGTACCATCTCTGTGCCAGGTACTGCCATCTTTCTAAGAGCAGTAGGATTCAAACTGGCATTGCTATTACTAGTTTAAGCAGAGTACTAAATAATTAGGCATAAACTATGGGACTTCCCTGGTGGCACAGTGGTTAAGAATCTGCCTGCCAATGGAGGGGACACAGATTCAAGCCCTGGTCCAGGAAGATCCCACGTGTGGTGGAGGAAATAAGCCTGTGCACCACAACTACTGAGCCTGTACTCTAGAACCCATGAGCCACAACTACTGCGCCTGCGAGCCACAACTACTGAAGCCTGTGCACCTAGAGCCTGTGCTCCTCAACAAGAGAAGCCACTGCAATAAGAAGCCCGTGCACTGCAACGAAGAGTAGTCCTCACTCGGTGCACTAGAGAAAGCCCACGCGCAGCAACGAAGACCCAACGCAGCCAAAAATAAATAAATAAATTTATACAAAAAAAAAATAATTAAGCATAAACTTTGCTATAATGTCGACATCTTGGAGTAATATCAAGGCACTTACACAAATAAAACAAGAAACACTTAGATGTCAATATACTCATTACCTGTTTGTAATGGCCGAAGTAAAAGAAGAATAATTTGGGATATCTGTTTTCCAGAGGGCTCTTCAATCAGCTCAAGCAAACCCAACAATAATTCCTTTGGATTACATAACTATAAAAATATTCACAATTGAACCTGTTTAATACAAGTTGTATTTAAAGCCACATGATTATTATTTTAAAAGGCATATACTGAGACAGAATAATTATTTTTGTTTAACAGTAAAACACCTCATAAAAAAGTTTTTAAAAAATACACTAGCAGGGAGAATGGATACATGTATATGTATGGCTGAGTTCTTTTGCTGTGCACTCGAAACTATCACAACATTGTTAATCGGCTATATTCCAATATAAAATAAAAAGTTAAAATTAAATTTTAAAAAAATACACTAGCAAAACAGAGTCTGAGATTCTGTGAAAGCAAGAAGTCAAGCATCTCCCAATGGACAACTACATTTAAGAGACTTAAATTCCTGACTAATGGAAAAGTTAGAGAAATAGGGGAAAGGAGAGCCTGAACACCAGAGCTGAGGTTTCCTCTGAGCTTTGCCTGTCTACTCTGAAGGCTGCCTTTGTCTCCCAGGGCTTCCAGCAGGTGGGATCTTTCTGTCTCATACTGCTAGGGTAGTTAGATGAGTGCAAAGTCTCTTTTGTTTTTCCTGAACAGACAAAACTTTGCGTTGCTTTCTGACTGGTCATATCTTATCGCCTCACTTGCCTTGTTTTTCTAAAAGTTCTCATAGTTAATAACTAATATCTAGGGAGTTCCCTCTTTTCAAGTACATATTTGTGTTTGTTTACAGTGATCTCTAAGTGGCTTCTTATAACGTCCTTTTTCTTAGAATTTCCCTCTTGTAACCATCATTTTTGGCTTATAACTCTATTAACCTTTTACTCAGAGTCTACCTAAGCCTGTCAGTCACCACTAACCTATTTCCTACTCTTATTTCCTCTGTTATCACTGGCATTCTAGGTTTTTCATATTCTTTTAGGTAACATACCATAGAAGAAAGAACACTCGTATTTGATTTTAGTTCCAGCGTTGCCAAAACATCAGTGTGGCCTGAAACTACCTCTTTAAAGCATGAATTTCACATCTGAACAATAAGCTACTTTTTTAAAAATAGAGCTTTTTAGGTCTCTCTCTGAAGATTCTGAATCAGTGGGTCTAAGATGAGGTCAGATAATTCTTACATCCAGAAAATTTGGGAAAAATGAAACGGACTGGCCCATCCAATAAATAAGGATGGGCCTTTTCTCCAAAGAGTTCCCACCTATACTTTCATGAACTAAAAGCTTTCTCACCAAAAACGTTAAAGGGAATTATAAAATATTGCTGTGTATTGTGACAAAGAGAATCTAGTTGTGTTAACTTACCTTTACCAATAAATCAAGCATCAGAAAATAATACTTTCTTTTATCATGTTCCTTATCATTCCGTAAAAGGTATCGAACAACAGGACCAACAAGATTCCAGCCCATATTCTTAATGATGACCTGTAAAAACATTTTCAGAGTACAATAAAGCAAATACTGCCATCTACAGGACTCTCACAGGGAGCTTTCTTAACCTGGAGGAGCTGACAATTTCCTCTAAAACAGGAAAGATGAGGCAAGTGAATCCATGAACATCTCACCATTGACTTCCTAGGGTTGGGTGTTAACAGGTAACAGCATTCTAAAATACTTTTTAATACTTTCACTGAGGAAAGGCAAATGGGTCTTTACTTTTAACCAGGTAATTTGGTCTTTCCCAGTTTTTAAATAGTTCCTCTAGGGCTTCCCTCGTGGCACAGTGGTTGAGAATCCGCCTGCCAATACAGGGGACACGGGTTTGAGCCCTGGTCCAGGAAAATCCCACATGCCATGGAGCAACTAAGCCCATGCGCCACAACTACTGAGCCTGAGCTCTAGCGCCCACGAGCCACAACTACTGAGCCCACACGCCACAAATATTGAAGCCCACGCGCCTAGAGCCCATGCTCCCCAACAAGAGAAGCCACCACAATGAGAAGCCTGCGCACCACAACGAAGAGCAGCCCCCACTCGCCGCAACTAGAGAAAGCCCACATGCAGCAATGAAGACCCAACGCAGTGAAAAATAAATTAAAAAAAAAAAAAAGGTGTATTATAGGCTGCCAATTGTTTGGAGCAAAGGGAAAGGCTTCACCCCAATTTCTCAACACCTGGCCTTTGGATGACTTAAAAGATAAAAGGAGATACCAGAACATTTTAATGACTGAGTAACAATTTCTAGAAATTTTCCATTAAGTAGAAAAACTTTTTCAGTCATTTGCTTCTCGTGATTAGAACGTGGTGACATGTTTTACTGTAAGTGTTCAGCTTATTGAAATCCAATGCAAAATAGAAAATGTTGCAATGCAAAATGAAATGTCAGTGTCATTCTCTTTTTAAGGCAGGAAAGCCAGTTTTCTAGCCAAACTCTATTTTCCCTTCAAGTGTATTCGTTTTCCACTTTCCCCTGGCCTATTTTTTAAAGTTCTCTTTCTTAATTTAGGCTTTTTCAAAATCAACTTTAATAAACAGAAATTCCCTACTACCCATTTTAAACTTAGAAATCTAAGTTATAGCTCATAAAGAACTTTTCAAAGGAGAAAATACAAGCCACTCTAGAGCAAAATCACTGATTTTCAAAACCATAACAATATACTTGATTTCTCTGGCCTGCATTCTACTTCAACTCATTAGTATTTATCAAGCATATATGTCAGGTCCCTAGAATATTCTAGATGCAGGAAATAAAGCAAGAAACACATCAGATAAGAAATCTATCCTCAGGACTTCCCTGGTGGTGCAGTGGTTAAGACTCCACACTCCCAATGTAGGGGGCCCAGGTTTGATCTCCATGGTCAGGGAACTAGATCCCACACGCATGCCGCAACTAATAGAGTTCGCAGGCCACAACTAAGGAGCCGGTGTGCCGCAACTAAGAAGCATGCCTGCTGCAACTAAGACTCAGGGCGACCAAATAAATAAAATAAATTATAAAAAGAAAAAAAAAAAGAAGTACTGCTTTAAAAAAAAAAAATCGATCCTCATAGAGTTTACATTCTAGGTTCGTTTGAAAGAAAATACATCTAGGAAGAAGACAACTGGTACAATACCCCCTCTGTGACCCCAGTCTTATAAGGTAATAAAGGTAGAGTATAAAGTATAGCAGGAGGGACTTCCCGGGTGGCGCAGTGGTTAAGAATCCGCCTGCCAATGGAGAGGACATAGGTTCGAGCCCTGGTCCGAGAAGATCCCACATGCCGAGGAGCAACTAAGCCCGTGTGCCACAACTACTAAGCCTGCACTCTAGAGCCCGTGAGCCACACATACTGAGCCTGCATGCCACAATTACTGAAGCCCGTGCGCCTAGTGCCCGTGCTCTGCATCAACAGAAGCCACCGCAATGAGAAGCCCATGCACTGCAATGAAGAGCAGCCCCCGCTTGCTGCAACTAGAGAAAGCCCGCGCGCAGCAACGAAGACCCAACGCAGCCAAAAATAAATAAATTAATTAATTTTTTAAAAAATGCTAAAGTATAGCAGGAGAACAGTCACTTCTACCTGGGGAAGGCAAGAAAGGCTTCCCAGAATAGGTGATAGCTATGCTAAGGCTTGTTAAAGAAACAGATGTTTATCAGGCATAGATAGGTGGGAAATACATTCAAGGCTCGGAAATAGCATTGTGCTAGGACTTAACGTGTCCTAGAGAACTAGCAACAGAAAAATGTCAGGGTATGTGGATACATAGTTCGGAAAAGAGGAGATGCTATCTGTTTACATCTTTATTTATCAACTGGAAGTTTTAGTGTTTGTCTTACCAACCTGCATGAGGTCCCTATATGTTAATATTCACTTCACTGTATTTACGACAAATTGTCATTTGGTTTTTTGGTTGTCCTAATTTTTTATACAGCAAAATACAGTGATTTTTTTTTTCTTTGGTCCCTTTTCTAGTGCTTTTAGGTCTAAAATGGCTTTCCCCTTGAGATACATAAACACTCATTTAAATTAGAAAAAATATATATATACACATATTCTTATACGTATACACATATATATACATATATATACTCATACAAACACACACACACACACACACACACACATATATCGCCTTTCTTTTTATTCAGTAAGATTTACATTGGAAACATGGCATAAAATGAAGGCTTAAATTGATTTTTTTTAAACAAATAGCAAAACAATCATGTTTTTTATCTAATGGGATAGACAGTTCCATTGATCTCTCTGAATATTCTTTTTGCACTAGTTTTTTCTTCTGCCTGGCACACTCTTACCCAGACAGTCCCATAGCTTACTGTGGGACTGTCTCTGCTTCCTTCAAGTTTCTGTGCAATTTCACCCAACACAACCCATCCCCCTAACCATGCTGCATTATTCTCTATAGAATTTATCACTTTCTAACTTACTAAATGATTTATCTGTCTTTGCCAGAATTTAAGATCCATATGGGGCACTGATTTTTGTTCATTACTGTATCTATTCCCAGCATCTAGAGTAGGGCCTGTTACAAAACAGATGTTCCAGGGCTTCCCTGGTGACGCAGTGGTTGAGAGTCCGCCTGCCGATGCAGGGGACATGGGTTCGTGTCCCGGTCCGGGAAGATCCCACGTGCCACGGAGCGGCTAGGCCCGTGAGCCATGGCCGCTGAGCCTGCGCGTCCGGAGCCTGTGCTCCGCAATGCGAGAGGCCACAACAGTGAGAGGCCCGCGTACCGCAAAAAAAAAAAAAAAAATAGATGTTCCACAAATACAGGTTGAATGATGTCTATTACTTCTAAGCATGACAAATTATCCTCTCTCCAAAGATCTGATATTATGTCTTGTTTTCTTCTATCTTTTCTGTGGCCTGACTTTTAATATTTAGGTCTTTACTAATCGGGAATTTATGTTATATATTATTATAACACATATAATTTTTCCAAATTACTAAATATCAACAGTGCTGATGTTGAAAACCCCTGCACTGTAGTGTCTTAGGACAAACTACCATTCCTGTGACTTTAAAAAAATTTTTTTACACAAAGCAGATTAATAGTAAATCTTGATCAATCTTGATTGTGTCACCTGCAAAGTAAACTAAGGTGCAGTTTTAAACTCTGTCTTATCAATATCTGAACCTTTGAATTTAGAAGACTACATTACAAAGGTGATCCTCAAGCTATCAAGGTTAGGCCTCACTATGCTTAAGTCTATCACAATCACTTAATCTCTAAAAGTGACACACAAATCTACATCTTAATCTTGTATTTCTCTACTGAGCTCTAAACATTACTTTTCGATTGCCTGCTGCATCTTAAACTCAACGTTGCCAAACAATGCCAACTTATTTGTCCTCTGCCAGGGAACTTTCTCTCCTCCTTAAGTTGCCTGTTTCTGTTCAGGATGTATTGTCTTCTCAGAGGCTAGAAACCCCATCACCTTTGTCACCTCACTCTCTCACCCTCACAATCAGTCCTCTCTCTTCTACTCTAAAACTTCCTTTCAAGTGCTACACTGTGCTAACCAGAGGCAGAGCAGAATCGTTAAGAGCTCTGGAAACAGGCTGCACAGGTCTGAATGCCCGATGCCACATAAAAGCTGATACTTTTGTGCAAACCACTTATCATTCAGTGACTCTTTCCTTATCTAGAAAATCCTATCTCAAGGGATTCAGGAGAGACTAAGTGAGTTAAAAGATGTAAAGCACCTAAGACAGCACCTGGCACATAGTAGATCTCAATAAATATTATTAGCTTTTATTAATTTTATTATTAGCTAAAAGTAAGGTACTCTCAAAGATAATCCTCTGAGAATGCAATTGGGAAAAATCAAGGAGTTAAAGAAAGCATTAAATTTATTTTATTTGGGGCTACAAAGGTATTATAAACACATATCAAAAACAAATGTACTATATAAAATGTGCTAATTGTTATTTTAAAAAATTATAAATAAAAAGGGATAAGACCTTTGAACTAGTAAGAGATTCTATAACAATGTATGATTAAAAAGTTTTAGTAATCTCCTAAATACAATCAAGGTGCCCTGGATATAATCCTAGGCCAGCATGACTAGATTGTGATATCAACAAAGAAAGAAAAAAAAATTTTTTTTTTGGCCATGCCGCATACCATGGGGGATCAGAGTTCCCTGAGCAGGGATCAAACCTGCACCCACTGCAATGGAAGCACAGAGTCTTAACCACGGGACTGCCAGGGAAGTCCCCAAAAAGAAAACTTCTGTATAAATAAATAGGACTATAAATGAAGAATGATTATGTCCCTGGAAAGAAGATGATCTTCCCTTATATAAGAAGAGAGGGGTGGGGATGGGGGAGGGGTTCAAAGACACAAAATTAGGCAGTGTTGTCAACACTGTGTCCCAGCTGTTCCTGATCCCAAAAACATCCTTTCTCATTGTGCAGAATGATTTCTCAGACAATTGTAGCTGGATGATATTGGCCAGTAAGGTCATCCAGCTCTCCCAAAATATGATCTTACTTAATATTTGGTTTCCCATATACACCTGGCTGAAGGAAAAGAATGTGCTGATGACCAAAAATGAATATGTAGATTGGCTGATACTTACATTTCTCAGTGTAAATTGCTAATTCAAATACCACTTTGATCTCTAAACCAGAAGTAATCCCCACTCTTCTAAAGCATTTTACTTATATTTCAACTATAACACTTATTCTGGAGAAGCTAAATGAGTAACAGATACAAAGTATCTGTTTATTCTGCCTCCTTATTGCTAGTTCTTTACATGTGTATCTCTTCCACCAGACTGTAAGCACCTTAAAGTATATAATTAGTCCTAATTCCTTTTTATTTTCCACAGTTTTCTACTGTGGAAATTTAAGTTGATTCTTAAATGTTTGCTGAAAAAAATAAATGGATGAATAATAGCATCATGTGGCTATTCTCTTCCTGAAAAGTACATACAAAGATTATACTTACCTTATTCTTTTCATTTTGAATAATTTCTAATAGCTGATCTATGTGCCCTTCATCTATGCATCTTTGGCCTGCTAACTGAAACAGGCCAAAATCTTCCTCTTTAAAGTCCTGCTCTTCTAGGATTTGCTGGCAAAAACAAAATAAACAAAAAAAATCCAGTAATTTTAGGCAAATGAAAATTCAATAACTACTTGACTTATTTTATCTCTCTCTAAAAAAAGAAATGTTTAAATTCTAGATAAGGTGCACATAAGTGTATATATGAAAATTAGGATTAGCCTAAAAATACTTTAATAAATCATCTTGAAATCCACTGTACCAAAGAAATCTATGAGAAGGATCAGTACTAAAATTATAAAGATTATTTCTCCAAGTGACATACTCCAATCTGTCTTCCTGCCTTCATGCTATTTATTCATAGGTCAAAAAAAAGCAAGGATTAAAGAAGATTAACAATTTGAGTGACCGCAGATGTAATTAAAAGTAATCTGTGCTCTGCCCATATTTTGGAAGATTATTTAACTTCATAAAAAGAAAAAGAAAAAATTACTTACACATCTCTTTATTATGGAATGAAGTTCCTCCACAGCCATTCCTTCTTTTTTTCCTAGTTTTGATGCTGAAATGTACTAACATAAGACAAACTGTTAACTATCAGCAATACTATATTGAAATATTAATAAGTTGTTTCATTCTGATTATTAATAAATACAATAAAGAAAATTGAAAGTTTTAAAGCTGAAATGGTTTTACTGAAAGTTAGTATGTTAGCCTAAGAAAATTTAAAAAAAGAAAAGCCTCCTGTTTCATCTTTTAAGTTTCCCTGGAGCATAATTTTGAAAGATAAACTCAAGGAAAAAAAAAATCCTCTAGTGCACTCCCAAGAGGCAGCGCAAATTTGGACTACAAGGGCTTAAAAAGGCAGTCTTTTTTTCTCCAAAAGGTGGGCCTGAAATCAGTTCTAATCATCAGGGAATTTTTTATTTTTTAACGTCCCACTTGACAGAAAATGGAGTGCAACACAGCTCACCCGGAGGGGGTGAGAGTTGAGATGTCCTCCACCGCCAAGTGTGACCAGGGCATTTGTACGAGATGTAGTCCCCCCAGTATAATCAATCGAGCTAGTGAAATCACTGTAGCGCACGGAGGCAAGGCAACAGGCCGCCCTCAGGACTACACCGTTGCGTTCCCACAGGCCATCGTTTCCCCCGGAGGGAAGGCCCGTTCCACGCCCCGCAGGAGGGGCGGGGGGTCGGTAGTATCCTCACAGCAGCGCGCTCCAGGGCGGATAAAACCCCAGCGCGCGTGCAGGCGGCATCCAAGGGAAGCCATTTCTCCCGGTTCCTGCCTGCGTCGGCCTTCGGGCCCCAGACCTCGCGGGGGCGCTCGGCTCGCGGCGCCGGGTTTTCTGAGACTCACCGTCCACCGCGAGCCCCGGCCGCCCAGGACCCCCGGTACACCCACTTACCCGCCAGGCCTCTCGTCCCTCTCACCGCCCTCCTTCTCCTCCGGCTCCTCCTCCTCCTCCTCCTCCTCCGGCAGAGAAGGCCGCTTTCCCGGCCCCGCCCCACCCCAGCCGGCCCCGCCCCGCGCTACGCGACGGGAGGCGGAGTCTTGGGGGAAAGGCTCCTGGGCCGGTTCCGACGCCGACGACGCTCCCAATGGCCGACTGGGTCGGGGAGTGCTCTGCCAGCCGTAAGGCCCGGGGTCCTCGCGCCTCCCGAAACGTCGCAGGTAGGAAGAAGGGCCTTCCTACGTTTGGAACTGAGAACTGGTCCCCGACAGAATTCCAGACTGAGGCGTGCGGGGCGCTCCCGAAAGGTTGCTCAGGGGAGGAGGTCTTCGGGGCAGAGAAGGCCGAGAGATTCCCACCGCCGAACTCTGGCCTTCTGGGAAAGACCTTCGGCCAGACCCCCACCTCTTTACACTAGTGTTCCGAGATTTCCCCCAGAATGGGCTGTGTCCAGGCTCTGAGGGAATGAGAAGTAGAGGTCCTGGGAGCCTGCAGCTGGGGTCGCCAGAATGGACAAGTGACCAGGGCAGCATCGGTAGGCCGAGTGTAGCTGACCTCGACTCAGGCACTGGTCCTTCTTCCAGATGTGCTGCTGCTTTGGTGCTGGTGCCCTGGTTCTCTGAGGTGTCAGACCCCTCTTGCCCGGGAGCGAACATTTAGGGGGATGGAGAGCGGTTGCCCCTAGAAGTACCCAGATCTCGGGCTTTCAGGAGTGCTTAGCTATGCTACTGTGATACAAGAAAAATCAATCCTGAGAGAGATACATTTTAACCAAGAAAAATAATTAGTTTGCAAAACCAAATTGGATTCCTTTCCCATTTCATTTGATTTTCACACAGGATTGGAAGTGAAATGTGTGGAAAAGAAGAAAAGGTGGTCTACAGTTTATTTGGGCAAGAATCTGTCCTGTAACCTGGTGTGTTTGTGTAGACTTGACCTACTTTTTTTTATTTCTTTAATTATAGGTGCTAAGCAGACAAGTGCCTTGAAACAAGAAGACGCTTCTAAAAGGTATGAGAACTGCTCAGACAGCTGCTTTCACTTATCTGTTAATCACATATTAATTGAACCATTTTTAAAAACAATAATGGGTGCTACCTCAGAGAAAATTATTTTGAGAGAAGGGGAAGATCTGGGAAGTACGATAAATTCTAACATAGATTGTTATTTTCCCTATTCCACACCTTAAGAAAGTCCAATGGACACTTTTAGATTGCTGGTGAAGGTATGAGTATCTGTAGAAAGATGTCAATGGGAATGAACATTCCTGAATTAACCAGGTACTTTTTTTTCATCTCTTCACATAGTCTCCTTTTTTTGCATTATATGCCAGAGACTCCAAGAAACCTTTTTTGTTGTTGTTGTTTGTTTACATCATGTCCATATTTTCAGCAAAAAGTTGTCCTGTACTGTTTATAGGCATCTCCTAAAAAGGCTTTATCTGTCAAAAAGGTTTTTAGAATAGATGTAGTCTATGACGATGATTAAAGTATACGTATCTATAAGGTATCATTTTATAAAGTATTGGCTTTGGCCTTAATTTACTCATTCTTTCAAAAATTATTTACTAAATGTAAGACATGCCAGATTTATGTTAGGCCCTGAGGGTATGTTTTTTATTGATTTTTTTAATTGAACTATAGTTGATTTACAATGTTATATTAGTTTCAGATATACAACATAGAGAGTAAATATTTTTGTAGATTATACTCCATGTAAAATAATATTGATAATATTAAAAAATAATAGCTAAATTTCCCTGTACTGTACAGTACCTTCTTGTTGCTTATTTATTTTATACATAGTTTGTATCTCTCAATCCCATACCCCAGTCTTGCCCCTCCCCCTGCTGTCTCCCTACTGGTAACCACTAGTTTGTCCTCTATATAAGTGATTTCATATAATATTTGTCTTTCTCTGTCTGACTTACTTCACTAAGCATGATACCCTCTGGGTATATCCACATTGTTGCAAATTGCAGAATTTCATTCTTTTTTATGGCTGAGTAGTATTCCATGGCATGTATAAACCACATCTTCTTTATCCATTCATCTGTTGATAGACACTTAGATTGCTTCTATATCTTGGCTATTGTAAATAATGCTGCTATGAACATTGCAGGGCATGTATCTTTTCAAACTAGTGTTGTAATTTTCTTCAGATATATACCCAGGAGTGGAGTTGCTGGATCATATGGTAGTTTTAGTTTCAGTTTTTTAGGGAACCTCTGTACTTTCCATAGTGGCTGTACCAATTTACATTCCCACCAACAGTATAGGAGGGATCCCTTTTCTCCACATCCTCGCCAGCATTTGTTATTTGTAGACTTTTTGATGATAGCCATTCTGATAGGTGTGAGGTGATATCTCATTGTGGTTTTGATTTGCATTTCTCTGATGATTAGCAGTGTTGAGCAGTTTTTCATGCTCCTGTTGGCCATGTATATATCCTTGGGAAAATGTCTATTCAGGTCTCCTGACCATTTTTTAATTGGGTTGTTTGTTTGTTTTTATATTGAGTTGTATCAGCTGTTTATATATTTTGGGTATTAACCCCTTATTGGTCATACAATTTGCAAATATTTTCTCCCATTCAGTAGGTTGTCTTTTCGTTTTGTGGGTGGCTTCCTTTGCTGTGCAAAAGCTTTTAAGTTTAATTAGGTCCCATTTGTTTAATTTTGCTTTTGCTTCCTTAGCCTTAGGAGACAGATACAAAAAAATATTGCTGAGTTTTATGGCAAAGAGTATTCTGACTGTGTTCTCTTCTGGGAGTTGTATGGTTTCAGAGGCCCTGAGGATATGATTTTGAACAGAATACACACAGTTCCTGTCTAGTGGAACAGAGAAATATCAATTAAATTATCACAAATAAATACATAATTACAAATTATGATAAGTGCTATAAAGGAAAAGACTGTGATGGAGGAACTAGAAACCGGGGTCCAGTAAAGCTGGAGGTTGACAGGAAGGGTGGTAGGTTTTCAGTGAAAGGCTTCTCCAAGAAAGTAATAATTAAACTAAGACCTGAAGGCTAAGTAGGCATTTACCAGACCAAGAGTAGTGAGGCGAGACCGCCAGCCAGAAGTGGCAATATGTGTGACAAGAAAAAGCTTAGTCATTAAAAAAAGAGAGATGCTGAGGGTGCTATGCAGCATTCTGAGCAAAGGAAGAAAGCAGGATAGGAAAAGGTTAGAGGTGGGTTCCATTCAAACAGTACCTGGTAGGCCATGGTGAGAAATTCAGATTTTCTAAGTGCAAATGGGAAAACTTTAATAAAGTAGTAGAATTTAAGTTTTAAAAGTTGTAAGATGTTAGGGTTACTGATCATTTGGGAGTGGAGAAATCAGATAAATTTGAGATCTGTTTTGAAGAGTATTCTCCTGTGGAGCAGCATGATTATAGTGAATTGGCTTTAGGAAATACTATTGGGTGGGCCAAAAAGTGCCTTCAGTTTTTTAAGTAAAAATAAAAGACACATTTTTCATTTTCACCAAGAACTTTATTGAACATCTTATTCACCCTTCTGTTCCACTACCTTCTGCCATTTTTTAGGCAACTTCATAATTCCATCTTACCAAAACTTTTAATCTTTTTGAGCAAAGAACTGTTCCAGGTACCTTTTACAGTCTTCCAAGGAATTGAAATTTTTTCCATTAAAAGAATTTTGTAAAGCCCGAAATAAATGGAAATCCAAAGGTGCAATGTCTGGTGAATTGGGTGGATGAATCAGAACTTCCCAGCCAAGCTGTAACAGTTTTTGCCTGGTCATCAAAGAAACATGCGGTCTTGTGTTATCCTGATGAGAGATGATGAGTTTTCTGTTGGCTAATTCCGGACGCTTTTCATCGAATGCTGCTTTCAGTTGGTCTAACTGGGAGCAGTACTTGTTGGAATTAATTGGTTTTCTGGAAGGAGCTCATAATAGATGACTCTCTTCCAATCCCACCATACACAGATCACCTTCTTTGGATGAAGACCAGCCTTTGGTATGGTTGGTGGTGGTTTCATTTCACTTGTCCCGTGATCTCTTCCATTCCACACTGTTGTCAGTATCCACTTTTCATTGCCCATCACGGTTTGTTTTAAAAACAGAATGTTTTCATTACGT